CAACTGGGCTGCTGTGGAGCAGGACCCGGGACCAATGAGCCTGCCCCAATAGGGACCGCGGCCTGACTTCAGCCACGGCACACGGGGCAGCCCCGTTCCACCACTTACAGTGGGTGGGTGGGAGGAGTCTTTTGTGTGCACGTGTAGGTGTGCACCTTACAGGGACCGGAGCTCCCCAGTGGGCGGAGCTCATTCGCCGCCGGGGGCGTGGCCTGGCAGTGTGCCGCAGCCCAGCGGCCCAGCAAACAGGGGTTCATGGTCCACCACTGCTCCGCAGACCGGCAGTTGGACGCCGCTGACGTAGGGCACCCGAAAATTTGGGGCATTAGTTGGACGCTGCTGACGTAGGGCACCTGAAAATTTGGGGCATCACTGGGTCTTAAGGTCCACCCCCTGCTCTGTGCTTCCTGTTCTGTGGCTGCTGCAGCCTGGGGAGTCCAACTCGGGAGAGGATCTAGTTAACTTACAAGTGAAAACCTGCCAGGTCGCTCAGCAGAACGTTGAGCTTGGGAAAGCCATTCGTGGGGTGATGAAGCCATTTCACCGGCATTTCCAACCCCAGGCACAGCCTGTCAGCCCTGAATTTGCTGTGTTGCTCGACAGGAGCTTCGTTGAAAAGTTGCTTTACCACATTGTGTTAGAGAGTTGCTGAAGATTATAAAACAACATCTCCGAAATCGTCTCTTCCCTCCTCATCAGGCATGGGGGCGCCGGTTTAATCCTGCATCCCAAGGACAGCCTTGGGGATGGCGTCAGCTCACCTGGTTCTTTGCTTTCAGGTGACTGTCAGTTTGTCTCTGCGACTTTCCGTCTCTTCAAAGTGCCCCTGAAAGGCCCAGCTGAGCCGTGCCAGGTTATTTACAACGGCGGGATCACCGGCCATGAAAAGGAACTGGAGTTGGATGCCAATTTCACATTCAAGGTACAGGGAAGCTCCCCAGGCGCAGTTCATGGCCGTGCCTGTTGACGGACACAGGAGGCTGCTCCAGGTAGCGGGAGCTGCAGAGAAGGCTCTTGCGCTGCTTGTGGCAAGTTTGTGTGATGGGACATAGGAGACGCCAGCACGGGAGGCAGGGGGAGGGGAGTAGAGAGGCCAGGCCTACAGCTCTGACCAAGGCAAATCAAAGGCGGGCCTGGGGAAGAAAAGCAGCATGATGCTGAATTAGATCCCACCGTGACTGGGCGGACAGCGGGGTTGTGCGGAGAACTGCTCTGTGGGGGGGCAGCTTGTGCTTCAGCACTGCGGCGGGACATGCCCCCAGCCGGCCTCCCCTCGCCCCCGTACAGAGCAGGGCGGGTGCCCGTGTCTGCCATGTGCTTCTCGGATGTGTGACATCCCCTCTGTCCCCAGGAAGGGGAGGTGGTGGCAGTGGATGCAGAAACGGCAGCCATTTTGCGGCACTCCAGGTTTGCAGAGGAGTTCCTGATCCGGCCTGCTGCCGGGAGGCCGCCGGCGCCGGGGGGCTGTTGTCCCGTGAAAGCAAAGGTGAGTGGCAGCGGGGGGCTGCTGTTCCGAGGGGCCTCCCTGTTCATGCCACATGGGCAGACTCCCTGCTTTGGACGATGTGCCAGTGAATCATTCAGGTGGGACCTGAATGGAGACTGGGGGAGGGGGCATTCGTGGCATCAGCTGGTCCCACTGTATGTCCAGCTCCTGTGGAAAACGGGGATCGGCTCAGAGCAGAGCTGCGGCAAACCAACCCCCAGATTTTCCCTCTTTCCTCCGTGCCCCGTGTCGGGACCTGGGGCCTTTCCCAGCCTGGTTGGCAGAAGGCTCTGGAAACAGCTCTGGGGATACGCAGGGCTAACCCACTCTGGCTAAGAGAGGACAGCACTTTGAAGCTGCACAGGGCTGATTTAAGCAGGGGAGGGCAGCAGGTGTAAATGAAATACAATTGGCTCCATCCTTGCACAGATATAAGAATTTATTCCAGGTATCTGCGCCTGTCTGATGAGATCAGATACTAACTCATTGAGATCCTGGCCTCATGGGCCTTTACAGATCCTCTCATGGCCCTTTTGACTGGGCTGGAGGGATTGATCCCAATACAATCTGATCCATAAATGTCCTTGCATTTTCCCTGCTATGTGCATTGGCTATCGCATGCTTCATTTCTTGTTGCCAGTCCGTGTGAAATGCTTCTTAGCCTTGTACCGGGCAGCTGTGTGCTGCCAGAGGTGGTTGCGTTTCAGTGGGTTATTTTGCACGTCCATGGGCGCGGTAACATGCACTGGGATGTTCTGGAACAGAAGGCGTCGCGGAATGTTGCAATGGCTCATAACTCATCCATATTTCCTAGTTGGCTCTAGGCCGTACGATGACATTTGGCTGGTGGGCCAGCCCGGGACAGGCATTACTGGCCGGTACAAGTTCTGGCTTCTCCACCTACTCTGCTGCCAGCCCTCACTGAGGTCTTGGACAAGTTGTTCTTCCTCTCTCTGCCTTGGTTTTAGAGCTCAGAGGAGACCGTAGTTGAATTAGCTGACGCCCTGTCAGAGGGCGTGTGGAGGTCAAAACATGGGACATCTCGCTGACAGAGGTGGCTTAGAGAAAGCATCTCTTCTCAGTCCAGACACAGTATGCAGCAGCGGTCAAAAAGTCAAATAGGATGTTAGGAAAGATTAAGAAAGGGATAGAAAATATGACAGAGAATATCTTTCTGCCCCTGTATAAAACTATGGTACGCCCACATCTTGAGTACAGATGTGGTCTCCTCACCTCAAAAAAAATATTTTGGCCTTGGAAAGGGTTCAGAAAAGGGAAACTAAATTGATCAGGGGTTTGGAACAGGTCCCATATAAGGAGAGGTTAAAGCAACTGGGACTGGGACTTTTCAGTTTGGAAAAGAGGAGACTGAGGGGGGATATGATAGAGGTCTATAAAATCATGAGTGGTGTGGAGAGGGTGAATAAAGATAAGTTCTTCATTAGTTCCCATAATATAAGGACTAGAGGACGCCAAATGAAGTTAATGGGTAGCAGGTTTAAAACCAATAAGCGAAAGTTCTTCTTCACACAGCATGTAGTCAACCTGTGGAACTCCTTGCCAGAGGAGACTGTGAAGGCTAGGACTCTAACAGAGTTTAAAGAGAAGCTAGATAATATAATGGAGGTTAGGTCCATAAAAGGCTATTAGCCAGGGGATA